AGTGAGATTGGGGGATGAGGGGGTGGTCAGTGCTAAGGAGAAATGCGAGGTAGTAGTGTTTGGTGAAGGGGGTATTGGTGTTTAGTGGTTGCAAAAAATGTGCCATGGGCCTCAGATGCACATCTGCCTCCTGTCTGTCCCACACCTCTCATCTGCTTGAGGGAACGCGGTGTGTGCTAATGAGGGGGGAGCAAGTATTGGCGACTGGAGAGAAAGACGGTGGCAGGGATCATGGGTTGGTGAGAATGCAGCTTCCACTTGGCTTGGGGAAACCAATGAAATGCTCTTGCCGCTCACCCACTCTCACATCTCTCTCTCCTCTCACTCTCGCCCATGGCCGACTTGGTCACACTGCGCCAACAACACTTCAGCAGGTGGCAAAGGGCAGCAGTCTTATTCGATTGGATATTGGGGGAGTCCGTGGGGATTGCCCCCCTTGTGAGTTGTGCTTATTGGGGAGGTTGGCAAGGAAGGCGTTTCCTTATGAGGCATCATGCGCCCCTTGGACGCTTGAATGAGGTCCACATGGACTTGTGGGGCCCTGTGCACACGCCGTCCTTCAGAGGGGTGGTGTACGTACTCAGCCTCATTGACGACTTCACCAGGCGGTTTGGGCTTCCCCTTGCCGTACAAGGAATTTTCCACTGTGTCCCTTGCTCCTCGCAAGTCGCACAAGGATGTGGGGCGGGAGTATAGGCGCCAGCTGAAGGTACTTTGCTCCGACAGGGGTGGGGAGTTCCTGGGGGAAGCTTTGAAGGCATGGAATAGTGAGTTGGCATTCAAAATCACTTGACTATAGCACACTCGTTGTAGCAGAATGGGGTGGTAGAGAGGTGGCACTGGACGATCGCGGAGGGGATTCACACCTTGCTAGTCGGCAGTGGTCTCCCAGCAAGATTGTGGGTTGGGGGTGAAGCGCCCACCTGGAGAGCCACCGTGGTACAGAGGCTTCATCCAGCGAGAGGTGTGACTTCTTCCATACCTTTTCCCCTCTCGCCAGTCAGTGAGCAGGACAGTTAGCCAGTGGAGCTCCTGAGCCGACATAGCACCATCCAAGATCTCTGCCTCACAACTAGACCATGCTATAGATGATGACCGAGTGGACCGCCATGAGATGGCACCTGCAACAAGGTTGAAGCAGTAGCTATGCGACGACCTGAGCGTCTCCAGGTCATCAGACCACAACGCGTTTGTATGTCCAGTGAGGAGCACTGGCTCCCGTCCCCCAGCACAAGCCCCAGAATTGATGTACTAGCCAGTTACTGCAATACCCTCTTGGCACCCGACATTGCTCCGATTGGTGTCTGCCAGTCGCAACAAAGAGAGCAAGGATACAGAGAGGGTATGCTATCACGTACATGAGGCACCCCACTAGCTCCGCAAATGGACTGGGCTAGACCTGCTAACCGGAAACAGGACATGAGAGCTTGTGGTCCACATGCAGGGGAGTGGGCTGTGCTGACGAGAATTGAAGGCCAAACCTCTGGGGATCTTCTGGACCATATGGGACTGGGAGAGGGTGAGTGTAGGCGCTGCACGTCACGAGAGATCTCTAAGCCCAGATAGCGCAGCAACTCTCCCAGATCTATGCAGGCCTATCCCTCCCCCCTCAATATTCAGGCCCCAGCACAGATGAGGTTGTCGTGGGTGCTTTTGGTGCCCCTGCATCCCCCTCTTCCAAATGGCGCATCTCAGGAAGCATTTGGGCAGACAGATTCCTGCAGCTCCGTTATGGGGTGCCAGTGCTGAATTTCCAACCAAAAGGCCAGAGCTGGCCCTCGCTAAGAGTGTGCTTAGAGTGAGGGCTAGTGTAATGGGGATGGTGGGAGGCAAATCTCCCTCCCCGAACCCAACCATATAGAATATTTACTGTATGTGGCCAAGGAGGGGATTGAGTGGCATCCGGTAGGAGTACGCCAGCATGTGGTTGTGGCACACGCTCAGGACCTCGAAGGGCTGGGTGTGTTGCAGTTTTGAGCTCGGCTCGTCTGCCAGGTTTGGTGCAGTAGTCAGCACGTTGGTTTGGACAGCTCGGCTTCCAAATGGAGGAGGTTGAACATGGAGGAGGTCACCATCTCGGTTGTATGTGAGTGGCACCATCTTGTCCCCTCGTCCATCCTCGTCCCCTCATTGTTTCCCCCCCTCCCCCTGCGGTGAATTCTGGGCAGCCTTGCCCAAAATTTCATGAGGCAACTCCCTCATGCATCCTGCAACAATAACAGGAGTTTCCAAAAACCTCGTTAGAGCTCTTCTGGAATGAAATATACTCTGTTAAGATAGTTGTTACAAATCGTTAGACTCGTTCTATCTGGACTCGATACAGTTGGTGTGTGAATGTCTTGCTCCATTGAACTGGGATGATGGGCTGTGTGATGTGTTGAGTCTAGACCATCTCAACCACAGGTTCATGTTTCCAGCTGGTACTTTATGATTGGTGGAATGTGTCCTTGATTGCGCATGTTCCATGTCAGAAAGTGCCTCGTCAGCCTGTGGTTGAGGTGGCTTTTTCTCACGTGGTCCCCACATCTTGTACGTCGATGCAAATTTGTGGCAATCTTCCTTGCATGCGGGAAGACATCCAATCAGCCTAGTCGGAGTCCCGCCAATTGGTGGCAATCTTCGCGAAATACATTCAGTTCACACTCCCCATCAGGCTTTCAATCAGATTTCAATTTGATGCGGTCAGGCTAGGTTCTTCGCGTTCTATGAAGTTTCAATCACAATAAAACGGGTTTGGGTAGGGTTCAACACGGCCGTTCGATGCAAACCGCACCGCGCACCCGTCTTTCTTCGCCCTGCCCGCCTCCCCTCCTCCTCCAGTGACAACCACCCCGCTCTCGCTCACAATTTCTGGTGAGAACGTGATAGACCGTACCACACCTCACACCCTGGCGACCATGCCACCTCGCTCACTCAATTTTCCTTTCTCCAAGCTGGTCTCTCCACGTGGTTGCTGGTGTGCCAGTCTGCACCAACTACACCTTCATTAGACGTCACGTATCCATCTACAGGCCTATTTGTTCGAACATACGGGCAACGGCCCAACCCACAGAGGCCCACTGATCTCCAACAGTTATCACATCTGATACTGAGACCTCGAAACGTGCAGACGGAACGTCTGAGGCCTCACACTGTTGCCCGAGGAACGCCAAAGAAACAATAATGGTCACCCGCTTTAGACTGAAAAATGCCAATCAGGTAACCAGCTACCCTATATTAGCCCATTTCGCCCGTGAAAGCTTTGCGCTCGATTCTGAAATTTCTCCAAAAAAACTAGGCTTGAAAAGGAGTTCATGTGTACTCACTTTGCTTGAGTGACACTCTCATCAACTAGCTTCACTTGGTCCACTCGACCAGTGCCCGTTCCATTCGCCAGTCTTCCCGCCCACTTTCTCACGGTGCTAGCGACGCACGCAGTCTCCCGCCAGCGCCACGGTCCCCATCACTCCGTCACGCAATAATGGCTGCGGTCGTCGCAAAAGCTCAAGCGTGCCTGGTCGCCGCGCGAGGCCGGGTCGAGCAGCGTGAGGCCGACTGCCAGACGGGAGGCCTCCCTGGAGCGCGCCGGGTCGGCCTCAACAGGCCGTTGGGTCGAAGCCTTGCTCCCGCCGCTGCGCTGAAGCGAGCGCCTCGGCGATCGGGCGCTGCGAGATGCTCCGCGGCCCCCCAGGCTCCCAGGTGAGCGGAGAAGCTCCCAGGTGAGCGGCGGGGCTCCCAGGTGAGCGGCGAGGCTCCCAGGTGAGCAGCGAGGCTTGTCGTCGACGCCGCGCCGCGCGTTTCACTGCTGTTGTTTAAGTTGCGGATTTGCAGTCTGCGTAGCATGGCGTTGGCAAGAAAGTTAGATTCTTTTCATTCCTACTCGCTGCTGCTATCCATCTCGCAAACGGCTTCATCCCTCGTCGGACTGTTGTGTGACTCAGTGCTGCCGCGGAGGTGTCGGAGAGAGAAGGCGCGAGCGGCAAGGGCTTCGGCGTCTTCCGCCTCACGTACGACCTCAAGGAGGTGAGGGGCGGATGGCCGTTGTTGGCCGAGACGATCGTCGGTCGCCGTCGTTAGTATTTCGGATCGTGTTTATAGTACGCGAAGCGTCTCGAAGTCGTTCCTCTTTCCGCGACTCTGGCGCGGCGTGTTGTTCCCCGGCCGCGGTTGCTCTGCTAACTCACTCCTGCTCGCGTTCGTCCCATGTCGCCCGTGCTCGTGCCTGCCATGCGGCCAGGAGGAGAGCGCGCGGCGCAAGTGGAGCAAGACGATCCGCGTGGCGGTGTCGGGGGCGGCGGGCATGATCTCCAACCACTTCCTCTTCAAGGTGCGCCACTTCCTCTTCAAGGTGCGCCACTTGCTCTTCAAGGTGCGCCACTTCCTCTTCAAGGTGCGCCACTTCCTCTTCTGTTGGCCCAGCCCGCTACGGACTGGTTAAAAGGGCATGTTGTTGTGGTGGGTAGCGCAACCTTTACCCCCCAGGACGGACCTGTAGCCCTCCCACACTCAACTGCAGGATGATCCCAGTGCCCCACCAACATCTTCAAGGTGCACTGCTCATCTCTAGGTCTGCCGTGCCTCTCTAAGTGCGCCATGCCTCTATCGAGTCCACTCAAAAGACACGCTCTCGGGAGCGGCGGGCAATGCTCTGTTACTACTGTCTCTCGCCAGCATGATTGCTTGTCTTTTGTCTTTCTTTCTTCTTCCCTTGTAACAACTCTACGATCGTGCTAGATGAATGCGCAACATTTTGGCTGCAATAGCGCGTGATTCACTGGCTGTTTGCCGCCAAGGAGAGCGTCTAGCATCGCCTCCTGCAGCTCCCGCGCTCGCACACACGTCCTCGTTTTTCTTCCCTCTCGTCTCCTCTCCCCTCCCTCCCTCCCCTCCCTCCCTCCCTCCCTCCCTCCCTCTCCTCCTCTCCCTCCCTCCCCTCCCTCCCCTCCCTCCCTCTCTCAGCTGGCGTCAGGCGAGGTGTTCGGCCCCAACCAGCCCGTGGCCATCAACATGCTCGGTTCTGAGCGGTCCAAGGAGGCGCTCGAGGGTGAGGAGAGGGTGAGAGGGGTGGGAGGGTGGAGGGGTGGAGGGTTAGAGGGGATGAAGGAAGGGTGGGATGGGTTGTAGTTTCGTCGGACCGTGCAGTGCGTGCAGTTCCACCTTCGGAAGGCCATGAGCAGCATCGTGAAAGCAGCTGTTCGTCGCCCGCTTGCGCCACCATGCTCTCTCCCTCCCTGCCGTGATGGACTCGCGCATCGTGGAATGGGGGGACGCGCATAGTGGAATGGGGGACTCGCGTCACACCCCTCCCCACCTTGTCATCTCTCACACCCCTCCCCACCTTGTCATCTCTCACACCCCTCCCATTACCTCCTGCGTGCTATGGCAATGGAGCTTGAGCACCCTCTATTCTCGTCCAATCGCATCCACGCCCGTGAGGCCTTGCATCATGTCTCCTGTGTCCTCACCACCTGCCAGGCGCGGCCATGGATGTCGAAGACTCTCTGTTCCCCCAAATGCGCGCCACCATGCAGATGGTCGCCATCAGCATCCACGCCCCCCGTGCCCCCTCCTACTACCCCCGGGCCTCCTATGCCTTCCATGTATCTCTTCGCTCCCGCAGGCGTGGCAATGGAGCTAGAGGACTCGCTCTTCCCCCTGCTGAGGGAGGTCACCATCAGCATCGACGCGCGGGACGCCTTTAAGGACGTCGACTGGGCGCTGCTCATCGGCGCCAAGCCGCGCGGCCCAGGCATGGAGAGGGCGGACCTGCTGGACATCAACGGCCAGATCTTCGCGGAGCAGGTGAGGCTTGGGTGGACTGGGAGGTGAGAGGCCACAGCAGCTGGGCCGCCCACCTGCATGTGAAGGGGTCGGTCGGTATGGAGAGGGCGGACCAGCTGGACATCAACGGGCAGCTTTCTCCGAGTGGGTGTGGCGGTTGCTGCACCTACTCATCGCACATGGAGGCGGCAGAATGCACTGAAGCAGGCGAGGCTGGCAGGAATCTCTTTCTCCGCTTCAAGTCAACCCTGTGCGAGCGCCTTATGCTGCTTCCCGACCCAAACCGTGCCTGCCTGCGCTTGCTTGCTTCCTGCAGGGCCGGGCACTAATGAACGTGCCCAGCCCCAACGTGCAGAGCCAGGCACTAATGAACGTGCCCAGCCCAACGTGCAGGGCTGGCTAGCTGGCTGTTGGAAGGGTTGTATTGGGTGCACGCGCTGTGTTTTGGTTTGGTGCCTACCTGACTCTATCTACCCTGGACCCTCGCTGTGCGTACCCCCCCCTTGGCCTGCACGTGGACCCTCATTGTGCGTACCCGCCCCTTGGCCTGCACGTGGACCCTCACTGTGCGTACCCGCCCCTTGACCTGCACGTGTATCTCTCCCTGCAGGGCCGCACGCTGAACGATGTGGCCAATCCCAACGTCAAGGTCATCGTCGTCGGCAACCCCCTGCAACACCAAGTGAGCCCCAGCTTGCCCTTCTAAATTCTCGTAAGCAGTTTTCCAGGATGGTGGCCGTCCGAAGCGGCAAACCAGGGGTTCATTGGGCAAAACTGTGCGTGCCTTCTTCCATCGCCTGACTCCCTCCCTCACAGCGCGTTGATCTGCCTCAAGAACGCGCCCAAGCTCAACCCAAAAAACTTCCACGCACTTACCAAGCTCGATGAGAACCGAGCCAAGTGCCAGGTGGGTGAGAGGCGTCCGCATGGGGAGCAACCCCATTCAGCCTTGTTGCGGGCTCATACGTCTACCGCCTTGGTATCGTGTAACTTTGCATCTTCTCTAGCTGATGCCATTTTGTCCCTGGGCCGCCTCCTCCTCTTGAGCTTTGTGTCTCCATCAGCGTCGCAATGCGATATTTGCGTCCTTTTCTCCATGTGTGGCTGTCCGCAGCTGGCGCTGAAGGCGGGCGTGTTTTACGACAAGATCTCCAACATGACCATCTGGGGAAACCACTCCACCACCATGGTAGGACTGCTTCAGATACCTTTACCTTCAGCACCATGGGAAGGCGGCAGCACCATGGTAAGGAATCGCGTTCATGGTAGGTCAATACGCCAAAAAAATCATATCTTACATGAGGTTCACGTTACGTGTTTATTCCTTCATCTTCGGAACAGCGGTGTATGGAAATGGACATAATCCACTTCAACTAGGAGATTGCTTCTTCTCTTCTTCTCTTTCTCCTCTTAAGCCCTCTCTGTTTTCCTCTCCTCGTCTTCACCCTTTCCAGGTGCCTGACTTTGTGAATGCGCGCATTCTGGGTTTCCCCGCCACGGACGTCATTCGCGACCGCAAGTGGCTGGAGGAGCAGTTCACGCCGCAAGTGCAGACGGTGGGTGGCGTGGCTGAGTGCCGTGGGTCACAGTCACAGAGAATAACATGCCTCACTCTCACTGCATATGCTGGGCTAAGTGCATGTGCCAAGTGCATGTGCCAATTGCATGTGCCAAGTGCATGTGCCAATTGCATGTGCCAAGTGCATGTGCCAAGTGCATGTGCCAAGTGCATGTGTTACGGTTGACTCATGACCGCCAGTGGCTGGAGGAGCAGTTCACACTGCAAGTTCTGGCGGTGGGTAAGGGGCGGGTCTAAGAGTGACTACTGTATTGCGTGGTGTGGCTGACTCATGGTCGTCAGTGGCCGCGAATGGATGCCATCAGAGCGCTCACCCCTCCCTTCCACTCCCCGCTATCTCGTGCACTGCAGCGTGCGGTGCTCTCATCAAGAAGTGGGGCCGGTCGTCAGCAGCATCCACGGCCGTGTCGCTGGTGGACGCCATCAGGGCGCTCACCACGCCCACCGCTCCGGGCGACTGGTTCTCGGTCGGGCGTGTACACCAAGGGGAACACCTACGGCATCGACGACGACCTCATCTTCAGCCTGCCCTGCCGCTCCAAGGTAGGCTGCTCTGTGCTGCTCACTTTCGCTTCTGCTTACTCGGTGTTCACCACCCTAGCCCTCCGGGTGACTGGTTCTCGTCTGGCGTGTACACCAAGGGCAATACATAACGGCGTCGATGAGGGCCTATCTCCAGCCAGCTGTGCTGCGCCAAGGTGTGCTGGTCTCTCCTCCGGCCACGGGGCCGCAAGCACTAACCACTCGGCCACATGGACGGGATGCAAGGGCTTCAAGCACTGGCGGTTTTCTCTGCTTGTGCTCAACGATGGTATGCCACGCAGGGGGTACCTTCTGGCATCTGCGGGCGTCTACTCTCCTCCCCCTCAACTGCCCTCCACTTCCCCTCTTCAAACCCCGTGGTTGGCAGGGCGACGGCGACTACGAGGTAGTGCCGGGGCTCATAGTGGACGAGTACCTGCGAGCCCGCATCCAGAAGGTGAGGAGTCATGGCAGGTGCTGCTGCGAGGGACTGCTGCTCCTGCGCGCATGAAGGTAGAAGGTGAGGCACTCCGTCCCACTCCGTCCCACTCCATCCCACTCCATCACGTTTCTCTCCCCCCCAACCAGACGGAGGATGAGCTGCTGGCAGAGAAGAAGTGCGTCTCGCACCTCATTGGCCTGGTGAGTCTTATCCTGCCGGCTTGTGTGAATCGGCGAAAGTCCATTCTGGTCCCCTTCGCTGGTCACACGATTTGACAACTTGGGGCATGCAATAGAGGTGTTGATGATTCGCTCTCCTGTACATGTTTGTGTGACCCCTGTGGCTGGCAGGAGAACGGGTATTGTGACCTGCCAGAGGGCGACACCATGCTGCCTGGGGAGCAGTGAAGTGACTAGTACAGTTTGCAGCGAAGCGATGCTTGCCTGTACAGCAATGGCTGTGCAGCTTGTACAGTAATGGCTGGCATGGGGCCTGTTCTTATGTGGCTCCATTGACACCATGTACCATTTGTTACACTGTTACTTTCCTGCTGTATCATTTGTTGGTGTAACCATATTGCATTGGCACTACAAGGGTGAAGTACAGCAACAGTGCACCGGGCAATATAAATACGTCCGTGGTAAAAGGGGCACTAGTGTTACTGGTACAACAGCTAGTCTAGATTACATTCCTGTTAATAAATTGCTACTGTCTGCAGAGGTAGGTTTCACCTGTCTCTTTGGTGGCACCTCAATCTAGTCTCTTCTTGACATTCTTAGCATCACACCCACGATTTCTGTACGGCTGTGGAGGGCGGAAAAGGGTGGTTCTCGCGCCAAGCAGGTCCACTCGGATGGCTGGGAGAGCAGAAGTACATGCAAGCACCTAGTCATCGCAGCAGCCCACTCCATTGCCCTGGTCCCTGTTGCAGCAGCACACAGCCCCACCGCGGACACGTGCCTGACCAGCAGTCTGGGGCATATCATATCCGCCCGTTGCCTCCACACCGTTCTCTTCATACAGAAAACGGCATCACGCCTGCGGCGACACTGTCTGCGGACGACTGCAGTGCCGACCCCAGTCCCTGTGTTTGACTGTCAGCGCCCAATGCTGGGGCAGCGGCTTGTGAGGCCCCGCATCTGGCTGTCAAACCCGGGTTGATTTGCCGCAGTGGTTTGACCCTGACAGCCAGCCACGCCTTACCCGGGTAGCCGGCTTTCTGTCCAGAGAGTAACGATCAACGGAGTCTGGAGGCTGGAGGAGTCGTGTCTCAGTGGGCGCTGTTGATTGGCTGGCCGGCAGATTGAACGCCAAGCTGCTGGGACAAGCAGCTTGGCGAGGTGGGCGTGGGGGGCTCCAACCCCCAACTCGTGGTGCTGCGATGAACGCCTCTCGTGCCATTCCAAAGCTACCAGGCCGCGCTGCAGCTCACGTGCGCCCGCCTCCTGCCAGGACAGTCGCCACTTTCGCCTGCGACAGTCGCCGACCTGTGTCGGGCGACACGCGTGCGACGTGCGACAGGCCGGGGAGACGAGCGAGAGCTACGGGACGGATCAGCCGTCGCTAGAAGCAGATGCACTTCGCGCCAGAAACCCCAGTGCCTCCCGCACCACCCGCCTTGTGGCGTTCGAATCGATTCGAGTCGACTCATAAGTCATCTCGACAGAAGCCCCAGCGCCTCCCGCACCACCCGCCTCGTAGCATACCGCGAGCCCAGCGCGAACACGGGGTCCGCGCCCTCCATCTCCGCCACCGCCGCCAGAAAGTCCTCCGCCACCCCCGGTCCAGCGCAACCCACGCACGAACTTCCGCTCAACCTCTGTTTTTCCGCAGTAGCGCGGAGTCAACAGCTCTGTCGCATTCCGCCTCTTCCGCCTCCCCCATGCATCCGCTTCCTCCGCATCGTCCCCCCTTTCTTCCCCGTCGCCTTCCGCTTCCCCGTGTCGTCCTCCGCCTCCGGTATGACGCAGAGCGCGGGCGGTGGGCCCGACTCCACCAGCAGCTGCACCAGCGCCAGCCGCACAAGCTCGCTTTCCCCCGCTTCCGTCGCCGTCCCCGCCGCTGCCGGCAGCCGAGACTCAAGCCCCGCCTTGCCCTTACGCGCGGAGCGAATCTCGCGGATGAGCTGCTCCGCGGTGCACGGCGCCTTGCCCTGCACGCGCTCCTCGCGCGGCACCAGCGTCTTTAATCTCTGCCGAATATGGCGCGCCCAGCGGACGCGACGCGCCTCCGCGCCCTCCTTTGGCGGGAAATGCCAGCGCAGCTGATCGTCGTCGCCGTCGTCCCAGGGGTTGAGGTAGGAGGTGAAGAGGCTGACGAAGACCGCGAGACCTGTCACCGAGCTCACGACGAGCGAGATGGGGTCGGGCGCTACGAACAACATGGCGCGGGACGGGATTCGGGGCTCGCTTACACGAAGGGAGTATTTGGCCTGGGTGATGCTTCTACGAGGGAAAAGCAAGGTGGAGGGAAAGTCGAGCGAGGCTCGGAAAAGAGACTGGAGGAGAATGGGGGGAACAGAGGGGTGTGTGAGTGTGGAGTGATGATGCTGTATTCAGCTATGCCTTGATGGGTCAACTAGAGCTCTACTTACGGTGGTGACAGGCACAAATCACGATTTGCAAGCTGCAAGATATTCGCGATTAGCGAAGGCTGAAGGCTGAACTGAAACCCTCCAGCGAGGCGCGCCAGGCGATTGTGAGACGGCGCAGATGTTTTCTTCCCCTTACAACACGACCGCCATGTAGCACCGCGGAAGGGGGGCTGTTCGGCTTCTTCTAGCACCGGGCGCTGGTGCCTAGAATACAGTCGCAGTCGCCTACCCACTGCCAATCACAGAGGAATTGGTTTTGGCGAAAAACTGCGACAAATTTGACAGGGTAGCTTGAAGGTAAGCGACGAGGCGTGGGGGAGGTGGTGAGGGGAGCTGGGGGCGGGCTTGGGGAGACCAGCGGGAACTGACAGATCCCCTGCCCCGCCCAGATCCGAAGCAATGGGCGGAGCGCCGTTCGCCCCCTAACCTGAAGCGGCGAAGCCAAGAAAGCTGTGTCGAGTTGCTGCTGGCTCGGATTGTAAAATCCGAGTCGCTGATACACAGGCAGGCAACCCCGACCGGGCTGAACGGCGACATTGAGCCGACCCGATGAGGAAAGAACCAATCAGAAGGGGGCTCTCGACGCACCGCATGTTGGTCTGGGCTGGTTTGGTGACACAGGCAGTGCGTTTTCAGTTTCAGGGGCAGGTAGGAACAGGAGTCGCACGCACCCAGGTGAAGCGATGAAAGGAAACCCCCAGCTCAGGTGGTTCTGTTGTTTGGGGAAAGCGCTCTAATGCGTCCCGATACAACTACGGGCCATGGAACGAAGCTTTTCTTACTGAAACAATGTCGAGTCAAAGGAGTTTGCCTATACCAATATACGTGCCTCAACACAACGAGGCAAACATAGAAACATATATATAAGTCATTAACGTCAAAATTTATTACTTGGGTTAGCCTACAACTACCTAAACTCAGTATACCCATAGCTGCTTCCGTACCCACTTGCACCGAACCCTGTCGGCATGTTGTACGGGCCACTGTTGTTCGCTGTTGTTCCCCCCACGTGCCCCCCCCCGGGGTGCCCCACAAAAGGCTGTGTCGTACTATCTGGGTGGGCGGACACAGTTATCCGCCCGGACGCATCGCTTTGGGATGATTGAATGAGGGCGGACTGGGAGGAGTCGTTGACGATTGAGGCATCGCGGGGGAACGAGGGGTCGTGAGGCATGGACTCGTCTCGAGCCATGGAGTCGTCCCGGGGCAAAGCTGCGCTCTCTGGGCCTTGGGTGTGCGCGTATGATTGGTTGGGGGGTGGGAGGGAGTCGGTGGTTGGTGGAGCCGTGTATTGGGCGAACGAGTAAGGTGGCTGGGGGGGAGGGTAAGGCTGGGAAGAGGACTGGGGGTAGCCTTGGGCCGAGCCTGCGGCGTAGGTTAGGACTGGAGGTCCGACTACGGCTGTGGGTAGGCCTGAAGCATCGTGTGACTTGTACAGACTGCAACGGGTGCAGGGTAGGGTGCGGTTCGCGGGGAAAAAGGGGGTGTTGGGGGGAGGATGCACTTAGGGTAATTAGTGTGAAGCAGAGGGAGATTTGGAGCAGGGGCGCAGTGATGAGTCTGTAAGTAGTTGGGATGCAGCGCTGTATGCTCTGCTTCAAGTGCGTGTGGCATGCATGCCTATTCTCCCATTCATGCATGCACATCCACCCATGCACCATGCCCTCTCACCTGTCCCCCTTGTCCCCATCCGGCAGGCACCGCATGGCTCGGAAGACATAGAGAGGGGCGGCCACGGCCACCACCATGGCGCCCACTGCCAGCACCATGGCCCCGCTCCACAGCAGCGTTGCGGCGTTCTGCACTCCCGATGCTGACCCGCCTACATACTGATGGGGGGGGGAGGGAAGGGGGGAGGGGGGAAAGGGAAGTGGGGAAGGGGGGGAGGAGAGAGAGGAGGAGGGGTTGAACGACGAGAGAAGCACAGTTTGCAGCGCCAGGCTGCCAGGCACAACCATAGCACCCCCACTGCCAGCACCATGGGAGGCCTTGCTGCATTCTGCACGCCCACTACTGAGCTGCCGTTGGGGAGAGGGGGAAGGCGAGAGGAGCGATGGGATTGGAACGAGATGACCACAGTGCGTCAGCCCATCCTGGCCATCTGCAGCTCCTTGGCCACAGCAGGTCACCTCCTTCCCTCTGACTCACACCTACCCTAGCCTCGCTAGTGTGTCATACCTTTGCCACGCTGCCCACGTGCGAGCAGATGGTTAGGAACAAGCGGCACGGACCCATCCATCGACATCCACACCATCTGCAGGTCCGTGGGCACAACAGACCACCTCTCCTCACACATGATATGTGCCCTCACCACGCCAGCAGCACGTACCCTAGCCACAATTGTGCTGATCTTGGAGGATTCGCGAAAACACCCTGCACAATCAGGTCCTTGGGCGCAACAAATACCTCTTCCTCGCACACACGGAATGTGCCCTCACCACACCAGCACCACGTACCCTCGCCACACTGGAGACGTGCGAGCAGTTGGTGAGCGCAGCTACGAGCGGCACAGACCCGTCTAGGCGGTCCACCGACATCCACGCCATCTGCAGCTCCTTGGCCACTGCTGCTGGCACGCGGTCCACAGGCGCCTTGCCCTTGGGTCGAGGGCACCCCGTGTCGGGGCAGGTCACTTGGGGGAGCAGCTGGTGGTTGGAGTGAGAGAGGGGGACGAAGACGCAGGGGACACGTGTGAGCTGGTCCTTGGCCACGCTGCCCGCGGCACGCGGTTCAGGGGAGCCTTGCTGCCCTTGGATAACGGGCAGCCGGTGTCAGGGCAGGTGATTTTGAGGGAGCAGGTGGGGGGGTAAGGGTTTTCGGATTCTAGGAGACGAAGAGGCAGGGCTTAGGCACGGCCGGTGGAGCACAGGCAACGGCTGGTTGTAGAGGAGAGGAGACGTTGCAGTGCAGGGCACAGGGGACAAGGGGGGACGAGGGCAGGGGCGCACGGTAGGGGTGGGGCGGGGAGGACTCAGAGGGGGAATTGGAGGACTCAGATGCCAAAGGAGAGTGGTTATGGACGGACAAGGTAAATGAGTGGGCGGAAGATCCTTGGGTGAGCGGTTCGCAAATGATTCTCCATTCTATCCGGCTGGGACGTTTATTTCAGCAGCCGGATGCTGGACAGCTAACAGTTCAGCTCTGGGGCGTTCTAGATGCTACCCCTCAGACTGCATGAGGTGGCCCTACAAGTGCCAGCTGTTCAGTTCGGTCCAGCTGGCACTTCGAGGGCAGTTCAGCTGCCAGCTGTTGTTTTCTACAAGCGCCCTCAGACAGTAAAAGTGATCCTAGAACTGCCTACGTTTTTCTTCTTTTTTTCAGCGGCGCACCTCCTTGAACTGGCGGAAGCTGATGGATTTGGGCGGGCAGACGGACGCGTTGTAGAAGTAGTCAGGGCCCGGCCCAAAGGGCGAGCAGATGCCCGCTGACGCGTTCAGGCGGGGGAAGAGCTGCTTGGGGGAGAGAGGGGAGGGGAGCGGGAGGGGGGGGAGGATGGGAGGGGTGAGAGAAGTAGGAGGAGAAAGCCCAGAGCCAAGGACGGGGAACAGGGAGGTCACGGGGGAGGAGAGGAAAAGGGTAGGTAGCCAACCCCCCACTCCCTGCTCCTGATTCTCAACCCCCCAATGTCAACCCCCCTCCCACCCTTCCTCCCCACCTCAGGGCACTTGCCATTGACGACACCGTTGGTGAAAGTGATGATGGCATACGCAGTGAGGGCCAACGTGGCAGCCCTCCTCCTCGGAAATCCATGCCCCCACCTTTCCCCTTTTTCCCCATCGTCCCGCTGTGTCCCCCCTCTCCCCCCTGTGTCCCCCCTCTCCCCCTGTGTCCCCCCTCTCCCCCCTGTGTCCCCCTCTCCCCCCTGTGTCCCCCCTCTCCCCCCTGTGTCCCCCCTCTTCCCCCTGTGTCCCCCCTCTTCCCCCTGTGTCCCCCCTCTTCCCCCTGTGTCTCCCCTCTTTCCCCCGTGCCCCCTCTTATCTACCTGGGGGTACATGCCCTGCACGGCGCCGTTGGTGAAGGAGATGACGTCATACGCGGTGAAGCGGGCGAACCTAGCGGCGTCCCCCAGCTTGGTCTCGTTGAGGCACGGCACCCAGCGGTTGAATGCGGTGTGGAGGGATGGGTAGAGGGTCACGTCCTTCACTGCATACTCGGTGTCCCCGCTCACACTGATACGTGTGTGTGCACGGGAGGGGGGTGGGTGGGGGAGGAGGGCAATGGCGGGAAGTTTGTTGGGAGGAGATGAAGGGTTGGAGGGGATGGGGAGGCCAAGGGGAGGGATGGGGAGGACAAGGGGGAGGGATGGGGAGGACAAGGGGGGAAGGGATTGGAGGAAAAAAGGGCAAGGGGAAGAAGTGGGGAGGAAGAGTGAAGAATAGGATAGGAGGGCGAGGCGGGAGAAGGAAGGAAAGAAAGACAACAGTCTAGGTTAGAGTGTAACATGGGGGATGGCTACAGTAAGGAGTCACAAGGGAGGGTATAGCCTGGTAATCTGGTTACCAGTATGCCGAAATGGTAACTTGGGTACTCACGTTACAACGGCGAGGAAGACAGCCACGATGCACCATGTGACGAATGCTGTGATCCACACGAGCGTGCACATGCTGCAGGGGGGGGGGGGAGAAAGGGGGAATGAGGGGAGACGTGGGACGAAGGGGTGGGAGGGAGGCGGGAAGGGGGGGAAGGGGGAAGAGAGGAAGTAGAGGGAAACAGAAATAGGTTTGGGATTGGGAGACGGATGAAGGAGGCAGGTGAGAGAAAGCGGCGAATGGGGCGAAACGAGGGACGAGGAGGCAGCTGGCACGCACAGAATGATGAGCCCATCTTTGAGGGGGCTCCAGTACAGAACCACGGCACGCATTAAACAGAAGCATCATGCCGTGAGATCTGGCGTTTGAGAATTCTGAAAAATTCCTCAGAAGGCAAGCATGGCATGCAGGCAAGCAGCCATGCAGGCTGGTGAAGGAGCTTACACGTGTGAGAATGTGGCCCACTGGAAAACGGCAGCC